GACAGAAAGTGTAGACGAAAGAAGACAACAGAACATGATTAGAGAGCAGGAAAGGAGGTGAAAGGGATTGAGAGGCGAATACCGTAACATCTAGACCACCAGAGCCCCTTTAATATATTTCTCTGACTGGGTATCACTAGAGCCCACTAAAATGACCAAATCGCTCAGGTAGTGGGTGACACTATTCAGATTGCCAGGGTCTGGTTAAGAATTGAAGTTGTTCGTTTTTCAACTTTTCCATGTATTTATTGTTGTTGCAGCTTCGGTTCCAGTGTTTATTCTTCATGTTGTATAATCTGGTATGGTAGTGCAGCAGACGTTTTGCCCTATTAATCAAAGAATGAATATTCACATTTTTCAGTTCATATAAGACTCTATGTATAAAATGCTTCAGCCTTTTTAGGCTCTACTTTTTTAGCTTCTTTTGTTGTATGTTTACTACCATTGTCTGTTTTTAATTTCTCTTTTTTAACAATCTTTTTCTTTTTTCTGTAATAGTCACAATGCAAGATAATCGGGCGGCTAAAAAGGCAGAGGTAGATCATGAACAACTTGGATGCATGGCGTCAAAGAGGTCAACCAACAGAGTAACATCCCAACAGAATCCATCCACCTAGCCTTTGACCGAAAACTGCACATACATCCCTTCTACATCTTACGGTGGAAAAAATAAAAATAAAATTACCTGTTGCTGCTTGTTAAGTTGTTGTTCTTGCATTAGGTTTGCTATATAGCAAGAGAATCAGGATTATCATTAGGTGCCATATCTGAAACAGACATCGGCGATCGCAGTTCCTATTCATTTCTACGCTCGTTTGTTTGTTGTTTTGTTTGAGTAAAAAGAAGAATATCGACACAAAAATGGCCACGCAGTGCTGGAAAAAAGTACGATAAACAGACAGAAACAACAGAGGCAAGTAAGAAAGTTTATTCAGCGTTTAAGGCTATTGACCCACATCACATCATATAAAGCACTCATTTGATAAATATATATATTTAAAGTTTCCATAATGAATAAGTACAGGTTGTACAACAGAGGGAAAGTAAAAAAAGTAGAACCTACCAGTGGCGCCCTCCAGCCTCTCGCTCTCAGCTCGAATGCTCCCCAAAATCCTATGTTGTCCTGGTGGTTCAACATCCCCTTCTGTTCAGATTTTCCAAATAACTTCCTGTTGGTCTACCCACGCCTCGTTTGTCTTACATTTTTTTCACTGAGAGCAAGATGCTAAAAGCCCTTTCCCTCCTCCTCCTTCTCCTCTCATCATCATCATCATCATCATCATCATCATCATCATCATCATCATCATCATCATCACCATCATCATCATCATCATCATCATTATCAAGTGCCCAAGAATCTGCATTTGTTGCTTACCTTATTGTTATCACTTGTGAGCGGCCCACGTGAGCTTCTTTCAGTACTTTCTCGTTTGATTTCTTTTCAGGCCATAACATTCTCGAAATTCTCCAAAGATACCACATCACATTTCTGTTGTTTCAGTTTCGTTTCCCTTGTCTTTCGTTACAGTTTACTTTTCAGAATTCACAGCCAATAATGGAACGATTGACAACAACTTGCCTTTTCGAGACAATAACGACCATTTTATTAAAATGACCCTTCGCAACAGACAAAGGTCGATTCATATTGTTTAGTGTAACGACAAAAATATAAGGGTTTGTTGTTGTTGTTGTTGTTGTTGTTGTTGTTTTTGTTGCTGTTGTTTTTTAGATGCAGTTGTCGAGGGGAAGTTGTCAAGTTGTTTTTTCCTGTTCCTGATGCTCAGCTGCAGCAGTTCCCACACCCCTCTTATGTAAACTCATTATATGTCGTCGTGGCAAAATCAGGCGCTCGTAAAAATAATGAAATCGAAGAAAACGATATTTTCCCTCCCGTTGAGCAGTTTTTATCGATATTTGTTTGTTGTTTGTTGTTTTGTTGGTTTTTTGGTTTATTTTGGGTTCAATACTTTTTATGTGCTTTTAAAACCACATTACTGTGTGGATTTTACTGGAAAAAAGGTCGATCAAAGGCATTAAAAATGTGGACTTGCATTGTCGAATTACAGTCCCGCTTCGGCAGTCACCAAACGTTGGAGGCTACTTTCTCACTTATTTACCTCTGAAACCACGCGACCCCAACCTCCTTCAATCGCATCTATCTCGAGTTCTATTTATGATGGATGGAGTTGTTGGTTTTTTTCATTAAAAGCAAGAGTATACAAGTAGCTCGATTTGCCCAAAATTGACGATCGCCTGATTTTACCGCGTCCTGACACATATTATTACTCCCTCTTAACTTATCGCCTAACAGATCATAATTATACTCTTGACCTTAGCTCTTTCCTGTTTGTGGGTGGATCATTGCCACAAGTGTTCCCCTAAATTCTCTTTCTCGTTTCCTTGATATTTCGCTTCTTTAGAATTACAAAGTTCTATCTGACATGCTTTTGCCGTTTTGAGTTACTATTAGACAATGAGGTCAGGAACCAAATTAAATGTTATGTTTGCCCTATCTAAATCGTAACATTATTCAGAGTCGCTGTCAAGATATTCAACGAATTTTTGTTTTAGTAGAGGTTTTACGGCGCTCGCAACTGCATAAGGTCATATGAACGCCAGAAGATTAGAGGTGTTACAAGAAAGTAACACACATAAAAAAGAAGGAGGGGAGACAAGGACGATAGATGTTTGATAGGAAAGAAGAAGCAAACCACACCAAAGCACCCGCCAACCACCCACATTCAAAGAATAGCATTTTAAAAAAGCTTCACTTGCTGGGAAATCCAATTTTTTTAAACGTCAAATTTATCAAAACTGGGTACTGAGAAAATAGCACATTGTAATTCTAAGGTGGGAATACTGACAAACTTAGTTCTATTTTGTACATATTCATTTTTCCTTGACTAATTTCCCGTCATGACAGCAGGAGTCTGGAAATTCTTTCTCTTTTTTTTCTCCAATTTTGTTATAAATAAACCCATTTTAGAACAACAAATTCCAGTCGCAAGTTAAAACAAATTGGAAATAAATAACCTAAGGAACATGAAAGAGAGGGTGTGGGGGG